ATGTCGACCGACACCGACCGTGCCGCCGCTGAGAAAGCCGAGGCCGACAAGAAGGCCGCCGAGGATGCCGCGGCTGCTGTCACCGCCACCGCCACCGCGTGGCCGATTGGAGGGTATACATCGCTTATCCCTCTCGTGTTTCTTTCTGTTGTAGCAGTACTAGCGGTATGCGTAGATGTCTCTACTATATGCGTAGTACATGCTCTGTTAGATCATAATCAGTATGTTATCAATGCTGTCCATGTCATGCTCATGATTTATTCATGGATTAATTTAATCGAAAAACTGCCTATTTTCTCATCATTTCCATCCTGGCGCCGCCACTGTATAAAAAATGAACAACTAAAGCAGAGCAATTACAAATTAAACACGCACTAGTATGTTGACTTCTTCCGCAACAACATGCTCGAAAAGGGATACAATGCCCTGACGCCGCCGTCATCGTGTCAATCCAAAGATTACAAAGACAAGGATTTTCATCCTCAGTCCTGAGACTAACCAATGAACTTGATTTTGTTTCAAAGCGTGTTTGAAAAGCGCTCGTGCAAAATTGTGAGTCGGGGAGTGAAATTGTGTGAAGGACCAGGTGCTAAAACGTTTAACTCAAACTCCAAGGAGCAAACTTGGAGAGGTGGTTTGATGCATGAGTTAAAATCTCTCCTGAACGCTCTGCAAAATACTGGTTATGACGGTCTCCCAAAAACATTATTTTACCTTATTTTATACCTAAAATCTAAAAAGTGCACGCGCACTTTTTTGCGTAACCGAGCGGCCGGCTGGGAACCGCACGATTTCAATCACGCGCGTGCGTCCTCACTTCAGGTGTCATCTGGTCGGCAGCCCACCCACCCGTCACCCCACCCACCGAGCCGGCCGAGCCCACCATCCCCCCTGCTGTCTCTCGCAGTTCCCCCAATTCTTCTAGATCGAGGCGTCGTCGCCGTCGCCGTTGCCGTCGCCGTCAGCTCCTCCGAGCGCCTCCTCCGTGCGCGGGCCTCACCGGATCCGCATGACCACATCCACATGCTGGCCTCCTCCTCTGGCTCGACCCCGAGATCCCCCACCCGGCTCCTCCCCGGCGATGGTGTGGTCCAGGCCATCGTGCAGCCATGGATCTAGGCCATGGCCCTCCCTGCTCGTCCTTCCACCCCCTCTACCACGGCAGAGACGAGGCCCAATCACTCGCCACCCCCACGAGCTCCGGGCATGAGGTCCTAGACCCGCCTCATCTAGATCGGGCCGCCGTGTCGCGCCATCACCACGTGAACCCGGCCGCCTCCTCAACGATTGACGACGTCCACACGGACGGCCGTGCACCACCACCACCTCCCCCTATACTCGGCTATTGGAGGACGTGTAGGTGCTCCCAGCGGCCTCTCTCCTCTCTCTCTCTCTCTCTCTCAATATTTGCCATGTTTGCGTGGGGGATTCACTGCTCGTCGCCAGCGCAGGTAAGGTCCTACCCATGGATTTTCTTCTGTCCTCGGTTCTATCCGTATCTCCTATCAATTACCCCGCATAGGTCCTGCCTAGGGGCGGCTGGTATTGCTCGTATTCATCGGACGAGGGAGGCTAGCGCGGAGAGGGTGCGACGGCGGGGGACGAGTTTGTCGGGCAGCCCATAGAGGTGGTTAACCGCATCCGCTTCACACAGTTACGACCATGGTGGCGTTGGCGTCATGAGCATAGCTCTCGTGCTGCTTTCGAACTAGAGAGGCGTGGGGATTATGTGAGATTTGAGTTTCAACCAGAGCGAGTAGATAATGGGATAGTGTAGGTTGTTGTACATCTCTTTTTGCATCCGGGTTCACCCATGTTTTTTATTGTTTTTTCTAGTAAGTTGCAAACGGAGGAAGAAATAGTTGGCTAGCTAGTTGTAAAATTTGCACAGGGATGGAAACATAGTTGGATTACAGGACGAAGGACGATCAGGAGTGTGTTTTTCAATTTCATTTTCCAGTTGCACACGCTCATATGTCAATTGGCTGCATCTGCATGATAGTTGCATGCTCTAGATCATTTAGTTGGCAGGACATTTTTTCATTTTACAGTTGCACAACCTCTCATGCCAGTTGGCTGCATCTACAGGGTAGTTGCATGCTCTAGAAATTATAATTGGGAGGGCATATTTTAGATGATATCTAAATGGTACACTGCATAGCTGGCTAGCTAGTTGTAAACATTGCACAGGGAGGCAAACGTAGTTGGATTACAGCACAAAGGACGGTCGGTAGTCTGTTTTTAAATTTCACTTTTTAGTTGCACACGCTCATACGTTCGTTGGCTGCATTTCCAGGATAGTTCCACGCTCTAGATCATTTAGTTGGCAGGCCTTTTTTTGCCATGATATCTAAATGGTACACTGCGCTGCATCACGCAGCTACAACTAGGTTTTAGTTGGATTTTCACGGCGAGCTGTTCTAATTTTGTCACTATTGGTATGGTTCAGGATCCTATTTTTGATCCATCTATTATTCCCAAAACTATAATTGTCTCGTTAAACATGATCTCTCTGTAGAGCTTCATTACATCTCTGTGTAAAACACATGATTTTTTACACAGTTGCATGAGAACCAGCTAGGTGTTGGCATCCTGAACTTTTATAATTGCATAAGAATCAATTAGGAGTTGGTATCCTCAACTTTTCAAATAGTTGCACAACAGTATCATACGAGTTGGCATCCTCGACTTCCATAGTTGCACCCGAGCCATTTGGGAGTTGGCAGTCTCAACTTTTTAAATAGTCCCACAGCAATATCACATGAGTTGGCATCCACATATATTTTAGCTGCGCAAGAACCAATCAGGAGTTGGCATCCCCAACTTGTTTTAATAGTTGCACAACAATGCCACATGAGTTGGTATCTTCAACTTCTTTAGTTGCACAAGAACAATTTAATAGTTGGCATCCTCATGTGCTCACATGCATCTGATTTTTCTAGGTTTGCAGATGCACTCGAATGTAGTTGCACTACTTATTTGAAAGATTATAATCTTTTAAAAATCACTATTTTTTCATTTCGTGTGTTTAGACAGGCTAAATTCAAGCTAGAGCTAGTTCATTTTTTCTTAGGCTTCTTTTTTTGCCTCATGTGCAGGTTTTACAGGTTATGGGGGTGGATGAGCTGCTATAGATTTGTGCACACAATTCTAAGCTACAAAGTCACATACTACTGTGTTGAAAGATCAAAGAAAAAAAAGATGCAAACCAGATTCTTGTCTAGTTGGTAGTTATGTTTTCGTAGTACCTACAATATACTTTTCTTCTCTTTTCTTTTTTTGCTACATAGACATTGGTTCTTTCTACATTATGTGTGAAATAAGACTCTATGTTCTCTCTCCTATATATTTGCACATTTTCTGCATTTTGTTGCAGACATTGTTGTAAAAGTTGGCTTGTCCCATGATGTAGTAGCACGAAAATCACTTAAAATTGCACAGGTACCAGATCTCCCTTTTATTATTTCTGTTTATCGTCTCTTCAACTATGGAGAAGCTATTTTTTCAAAGAGAAATTTGGTGAGGGGGAAAGGGAAAGTCAAGGAGGGAGGATCTGAACAGGAGGAGGAAATGATCACCTCTTTTTCACCCTTGTTGGTGATGCCTGATACTTTCTGGTCTGGATTCATGTTTTAGTTGCACACGTTTACAGCAAAAGTTGGCTTTGGATTCATGTTTAGTTGCACAAATATATGTTTATTTTTGCACAGACAACACACATCCATGTCTGTGTGTGTTGGTTGCACACAGTTACAATAAAAGTTGGCTTTTGGATCCATGATTAGTTTGCACATCTCTTTTTCTAGTCTTGGCTGTTTGGTTGCACACATAGCAGGAAAAATTGGTTTTGGATACATGTTTTAGTTGGCAGAAATATAGGCTTCTATTTGTACACATGGCATAAAAAGGTTTCTTTTGGAACCCACTCTTTTTTAGTTGTGCAAATATGTGCTTCTTTCTGCACAAACAGTACATCCAGTCCATATTTTCTGGTATTTGGCTGTTTGGTTGCACACATTGCGCAAAAGGTTGACATTGTTGGAATTGTGATTAGTTGCACAAACAGGAACCCAGTCCATGTTTCTAGTTTGGGCTATCTGCAAAACTACTCCATTGTGTCTATTTGCACACATCCAGGCAAAAGTTGGTTTTACTATTGGGTCTAGTTGCACAGAGTGGTGTTTAATTAAATAGAGATCAAAATTTCTCTTTTTTTGGTTACTTTCTTGTGTCTATTTGCACACATCTAGGCAAAAGTTGGTTTTACTACAGGGTATAGTTGCACATAGTGATGTTTAATTACACGAAGATCATATTTTCTCCTTTTTTTGGCTTCCTATTTTGCTACTCCCTCCAACTATGGAGAAGACCGGTGGCAGATTCATAGGCAAGGTGAAGGGAAAGTGAAGAAGGTGAAGGGAAAGTGGAGAAGAAGGATACCCGTGAAGGAGGAAATGTGGACGAGGGGGCGTGGGATGCTTTTTCTAGAGAGTAATGGGGTCACCGATAGCGACTAGGCTTTGTTTTCTGTTTGGTGGACTCATCTGGCTGGCGGCCGCTCACGAGCGCTACCGAGCCAATGAATTTTGTGGGACGGAAGGAGGCCTTCCTTTCTCGGAACGAGGGGACAGGAATTTTCTTTTTCTGGCCGGCCGCTCGCTACCGCTAGCGAGCCAACGGCTCCCTATTTTATACAGTATATAGGTATATATCCGTCTGTTTGTTCGCCTTAATTTTGGTAAGGTAGTCTTTTCGTATGCTCCGTGATTGTAATAAAGTAGCCCATGCACTTGCTGCAATGGGGATCAATGGCAGGAACCACAGCGTCTGTGGGTGGAGGCTGTGCCGAACGATACTGCTGTGCCGGTTGAGTAATGGAATCCAGGGGTTCCACGTCAAAAAAATTGAAAAAATGCTCACATTGTGATTGATCAGCCAAAAGCCAACTCATGTGCTCCCGCAAAACGAGCCATGCGATCAATATCGATCAGCCAGCTTGTTTAACCTTGATTGACGGAACTCCGGCGAGCCGTCAACTCCTCCATCAGCCGGCCAACGGCGTCGTACGAAGACCTGCCGTTCGCCACGTCGCTCCTTGCCTTCACAGCGAGGTCCCTGGCCTTCTTCTGTATGGCGTCGCTCTCCATCAACCTCCCGATGGATCCGGCGATCACCTGGCCGCCGACCACCTCGTGCGCCTCGAGGGATGACCCGTAGTCCTTGGCACCGACGCTGACACCCACCTCGAGCATCTCCATGATGAGCATGTCGTTGTTGAACTGGTCTGCGTGCCGCGGCCACGTGACCATCGGCACGCCGGCGCTCACGGCCTCCAGCACCAAGTTTCAGTCGCAGTGTGTCACGAACCCGCCGAGGGCGGGGTGGTTCAGGATGAGCAGCTGCGGCGCCCAGCCTCGCATGATGAAGCCGCGGCCACCGCGTGCTGCCGTCAGCTCGGCGAAGCCTTCCGGCATATCCACTTCTCCGGTGAAGTGTCCGCTCTGCCCATCACCCACAGTGTTAGCCATAGTCTTGATCTTGCATCGGTTAGAAGTTGTTAGTTGCACACATTATGTTTGTTAGCAGCTAGCTGCATGCATGGAAGGAGACGACCGAGCCGTGTGGCCGTTCCGTAAGGTTAGCTAGTGCGGTGCATGCATGGAGATGTGGGGGCGTGTGTGCATGCTAGTTGGTTAGCTGGCTTAGTGGCCGGGTGATCTTTGTGTGTGCGTGAGTGTGCTGGTGTGTGTGCTTGCCTGGGTATAAAAATTAAAAAGCCCTCAACTGTATTGCTTGGGTGTTGTGTCGAGTTCGTACTTGAGGAAGAAGCCGTTCGTGCGGCAAGCATATGTGTGCCGGAAAAGCACCACCGTGTCCTGTGTCTCCTCTTTCTTCTACCTTCGTTCGTGCGAGAGAGAGAGCGAGAGGGAGCTGGGCACCGGCGCAAAGAGCAAGCTAGGGTTCGGCGCCAACACACAGAAAGCTCGTGCCTAAGAGGTCGAGGCCGCGGGCGAGCTCGTGCAGCTCCGCCGGCGAGAAGCTGGCCAGCGTGCCGAAGGAGACGTACACCACCGAGCCGGCCGGCTTCGCGTCCAGCTGCCGGAGGCAGCCGTCCGCGTCCGGCGAGGGCGCGTTGGCGCCTCGCCCGGCCATGTCGTCCTTGCCGGCGAGCGCCACGGGCCCGACGAGCGACGCGCGACAGTGCTCGGCGTAGTCCGGCTTCAGCGCGTGGAAGCTGTTGAACACCTCGCCGAAGCTCCTCTGGTCCGCGGCGTTCACGCTCTCGAAGAAGGCCCAGTGCGACGCCCTCGCGGGGTCCATCATCTGGCTCCGCCTCATCTCGACGCGGTGCGGCAGCCCCGCACCGGCAGGGAGATGAGGGTGTCGGGGTCGTCGGGCGCGGCCGCCAGCGGGTTGTGGCCAGAATTTCGGTTTTTGTTTTTTGATTTTTACCGGTCCTGGATGAAATGGGCGAAATTCGTTTTTTTCGGCTTTTTTCGGAAAATTTTGGACGAAAATCATAGAACAAAATTTGAATTTTGGGACAAAAAATGAACGAAAAATGAGCGAAATTTGCCTAAAATTTTAAAATACAACCGAACAACGAATGAGTATTCAGAACTTTTACCAAAATATGCATGTAAAAATCAAACAGCTGAATCTATTCCTCAAATCACTACATATCAGACTGAACATCAACACTCCAGTTGCAACCATTTAGGCAATAGCATAGTGGATCAATTCAGAGAGCAGCAACCATTAGAAAAGCAACATGATAGTCCAGATTAACATGTGACTTAATAGTTCAGATACTAAGAGTAACATGCGACTTAATAGTTCTACCAAGAGTCGAAACGAACACCCATAACAGTTCAGAATTACAGTCCACGATGAATTTAACATGACATTCGAAGTTCAATTATGCCGACCCCAAAATACAAACAGAAAATTCAATTCAGACTTCCTGTTCTTCAACTCTTCAGTCTTGCACCAAAAGTATTGAGTCAAACAGAGACCTTCACTTCGGACTTCCTGTTCATCCACCCGTTAGTCTTCATCAAACCAAAAGCTCTTTTGCTCCCATGCCGCTTAACCTTGCAATTAAAGCATTATGAATTATATAAACATTACAAGTAGATGGCAGAAACAACAACTTAATGTTGGCAGCCGCAATTGGAACAACATATAAAATCATATGGGCAGAAACAATGTGAATTATATAAATATTACAAGTAGATGGCAGAAACAACTCATAGATGACAACCCAAATTAATACAACATATAAATTCAGATGGACTAAAGCATTATGAATTATATAAACATTACAAGTAGATGGCAACAACAACTCATAGATGGCAGCCCCAATTGAAACACCATATAGAATCATATGGACTAAAGCATTGTGAATTATATAAACATCAAGTTGATGGTAGAAACAACAATTAATAGATGGCAACCCCAATTGAAACAACATATAAAATCATATGGACTAAAGCAAACATCACATGTTTATGACAGAATATAAGAAAGTGCATAAATGGGAAATTATTGATGTCATCACAAGGAACTTACTTGTCAATTGTAAAGGCTGGTGACCTCCTTGACCTTCTTGGCTTGCCTAACCTGTTCAGATCTACTCCCTCCTTCCATCTATATAGGGCCTAATGCGTTTTTCGAGACTAACTTTGACCAAATGTTAGAGCAACAATATATGACATGCAACTTACACAAAGCATATCATCAATTTCGTATGTGAAAGGAGATTTCAATGATATAATTTTCACATTATGCATGTCATGTACTATTAATCTTGTCAATAGTCAAAGGAAAAACGCATTAGGCCCTATATAGATGGAAGGAGGGAGTACGGTTCACCAAACTACCATCACTTGTTACCTCAACATTGTTTCCAACTTGGCTTGCTAAATCCTTGTCAACTTGCATTGGCGAATCTCCTCCATCAGATTGACTTGCACCATCATCATGGCTATCATCATCATCAATTTCCAGGTCCAGCTCCTCATTCTCTTCATCATCATCCTCACTATCATGGTAGTCATCCTCTTCTTCCTCTACCCTCTTTCTTTTCCTGCCATTATCCTTCCTTGCAAGATGAGACACTTTCCTACTTGAGTTAAGCAAACGTATTTTCTCAAACATGGCGCTAGCAGCATCAACTCCATCCAAGATTGCATGCTCCTCATCCTCATTCAACCATTCCATCATAGGATTTGTTGCATCAAACATGGTTGTATCCATCATCATTGCACATGCATCAACTTCCTTCTGCTTATCATTCTCTCTCACCGGGTCTTCTTCTTCTTCAGCACGTATCTTCAAAATGTGAAAACAAAATCAGTGAATGACAACGAAGTACAAAGAATAAAATGGATAAAGTCGCTATGTATAAAACAATGCTTATTAGACAGCAGCCTTTACTCTAAACATTGCTAAGTAAACATCAACATTTACTTTAAATAACAACCTAATAACAGTCTTTAATAAATAGTAGCATTTACTTAGTAAACAACAACCTTTATTTCAAACAATGCTTAGTAAACAACAGTATGCAGGTGAATCATGGCATATGGGTGAATAATGGCATATGGGCAAAACACATTTCATACCTTCAAGTTATAGCGCACAGATACAAGCTTGTGCAGCTTGCCATATAGAAGACTGTTTCTTTGCTTCGTGTGGACCAAAGCAAAAGCGCTCCAATTCCTCTCACAGCCACTTGACGAAACGCATTGTGATACAATCCTCAAGGCACACTTCTGCAGATTAGGAACTTCCCCTCCAAATTGGAACCACCACTCAGCTGCCAAGTTAAAACAAAATTAACATAGTGAGATGATCTGAGTTGAAAAACTGGGGTAATAGAGTATTACAAGTGGGGTAATTGGAACTTACTTGGTGACATTTTCTCTACATAGGAACGTGCCAACCTTGAGCCAAACCTCCCACGACATTCCCTGTAAGTGTTGACTTCATCAATAGCCAAAACAGCAGTCTCAGGGTCTGCGATCTTCTCAATGGCACCTGTTAGTGCAAGAGCATAGTCCATCATCTTGCACATGTTGATCTGATAATGTGTGTAAGGATCAAGGACAACAGCTGCATAGGAAAAGGGAGAACAAAATAAGTTAAAACCATAAAAAGAGAGCGTCATAATACAAATTTAGTCAGTTTGTAACTACCTGCAACCAATAGTGTGCATTCTTGCATAGCATCGATCCTCTTGGACACCTTGCTCATGACTCTATGAAACATTTGTGATCCACCACCAAGATGACTTTCTAACTTTTGTATTGCTGTCATCATACTCTTCTTGAATCCAGATAGGGTGCATCTCTTTTGTGTATCAGCATATCTAATGGCTTTGTAGAGTGGCTCTAGCACAGCAAGAACCCACTCTAAAGCTGCCCACCACATATTACTAGATAGCAGCTCTTCAGCGAACACATAATCAGCAACACCGTTCCAAGTACTTCCCTTCCAATCATCGGACACCATCCATTTCCTAAACTCATCTTTCTTACAATGGAAACTCTCCAAGAACATGAACACCGTTCCAAACCGGGTCGCATTCGGTTTTACGAGTTCACCACCAATGTTCTTTTTCATGCTATCATGTAGGTTATTGTGATTGTAGAAAAATCTACAGATCTGCTTAACACTTTTAACTATCACGTCAATCTCACAAAACTTAGCAACATCCTTAAGCATGAGGTTAAAAGTGTAGGCAGCACATGGCTGCCAAACAATATGACTAAACTCTGGTTGTTCTACCAGAGTTTTACATGCTTTCTTGTAATTTGACCCATTATCAGTTACAATTTGAACAACATTCTCAGAACCTATCTCTTCCACAATGACCTTTCTAATCTCTCTATAGATAAACTCTGCCAATTAATTGCAAGTAAATTTTTGTTTGAAACAAAAATGAAGCGAGTAATAACAGAAATAAGCATGAATAAATAGAAATAACACTTTTTTTACTCTAAATGCACCATAATATCATGTAAAAAGATTAGAAAAGGCATAATAGCCACATTTAACCATGAATAAACAAACATAACAAATTTTCAACCATGAATAGACAAACATAACAGATTTTCAACTCTAAATGCACAATAAATGCATCATACCATCATGTAGAAAACTAACAAGGCATGGCTAGTCAGAATTAACAATGAATGGACATGTGTAAACATAGTTTCAATCATTAGAAAACTAACATGCAGTCTGAATTTGACCAGAAACATCAATGGATTTATGAAAGAACATTCGTGCATTGCAATACACC